CATCAATAAAAACCCCCTGCACTACTTGTTGACCTGGAACTCCACTTCGTATTGCCTCCTCAGTACCTACCTTAACATCCCCCGAATTAAAAACTACTACTTTCCCATTCACACTCCCATTGGCAATCGTGCCACCCTCTTGTGGAAAGTCTCGGACCCAAGTTGCAACCCTGTTCTGGGAATCTGACAAATCCTGGAAACCCTGCTGCCCATTTTGACCAGCGACATCAACCCCTTGGCTCCAGTCCGACGATAAATGCTCCCTAAGATTCACCGGTCCGTCCTCTTCAACCACCTCATCTAACATCGGAAAAAAATCTTCACTTCCTTCCACCTTAATTTTAATAAAAAAACAACCGCCCATACGTAGTGCAAATGACATGAGGAGGAATATTGAAAGGACTTTCAACCCTCAACAGCAAATGAGCTACTCTGCAGTCCGCTCTTTAGGCTGTTTGCTTCTGAATCTTCACAAGCTTTCCCCATCTCGAAGCCAAGCTAGAGAAAAAAGGAACTGACCAACAATTAAGAGGAACACCTATCAAAGAAATAGCACAGAACGGTGAAGGAATACTCTTCTCGTCCAAAACCTGCTCTAGCCTTTCGAATCAGAAGGATAGAGCCTCCCACTTGTTCACCATCGAATCAACTTTCTCTTCGACAGATCGGAAAACTACTAAGCAGGCGTTTTTTGCAAAACCCCACCTAACCACCTTAACATTGAAACCTTCAGATCTTAATGCCCTTTGCACGAAATCCACTTCAAAGGACGCCTTACAGATCCCTGTTAAAGACGAACTAAGCCAACTCTTTTCCTCCACTGGAATGAAAATATCCAAAGGCTTCTTCACCTCCCTCTTAACTCTAAAGCTACCCGCTTTCTGACCTGCACCTATTTTCACTCCCGCTACCGTATCCTTATATGTTCTACCATCATAAAACTTGTTAAGGAACTCCTTCTTCCCACCAACTCGGGAAGGAGATCTATTCCCTAACGGATCCGCTGCGCCTGGAACTCTATCCCCCACCACGTCAAAACGCTTCAAACTCCACGACAAAGTAGTCCTCGGATATTTCGCAGTCGACACCAATATTCTCCTCCCATCGACCATGACATTATTCATCCTTTCCTTTGCTTTGAGCAAATCCTCTTTGCTAGCAAAGTGCACGAAGGCAAAAGTACTATCCTTGTACTTTGGTTTCCTATTAACGGTCGGAATGAACACCTTAATCACTTTGCCATGATAACTAAAGTGTTCCCATAAAACACTTCTAGACACTCGCCTACTAAGGTTGTCCACGAAAACAACCCACGAGACTCCCCCAGGCACTGATCTGCCTCTAGCTGAAGAGACACTACCTACAGGATTCTCACTCACTCTCTCTCTAACTTTCTCACTCATGATCATAAATCTCAGTACATGAACTTAAATGTATTCTTGTTTGGTTCTGGAAATGAATCTAATCAGTGGAAGGAGAAAAAGAGTGCCTTAGAATTTTATTCAACAACTGAAATTACATAAGATACAACCAGAAAAACACCCCTTCAAAAATCGAAAAACAGAAGACACCCAAAACCAACAACACTAACTAAGGGTAAACCAATTTAGATACTGCAACAGCCTCTGATTGGTTTACCTATTACAAAACTACCACCACCCTTACAGACTCAAAGCTTGTGCATAACCCGAGAAAACACAAAACATATAAACCAAACAGCTTCCAAACAATCAACCAATCCCCTGCTTAGCTAACTTTTCAGCCTCCATATTACAACTCCTAGGAATCCATCTAAGAACAGCGTTCGAAGCATAAATAAGAGCCCCAATTTCCTCTACCAGATCACGCAAGGAAGTAGGGGCAGGGTATTGGTTCTGAATCCATTCCACTGCATTTTTTGAATCACTTTCGATAATAAGTCTTCCCTTCTTAAACCAACCAGATGAATAGAAAAAATCAATTCCCTCTTTAATAGCTTTCAGTTCTGCCAAAATAGGAAGAGTAGACCCTACTGCTGTAGAGAAAGTGGCTAAGGTCGAGCTATTTGAATCTCTTAAAATACCTCCAATTCCACCTTTCAACCCATCACCTGTTACTGCCCCATCCACGTTAAGTTTAAACATATCCAATGGTGGAGGTGACCAACCACCTTCTTTGAACAAGAAGGTTTTTGAATCTTATCAGCCCGCGATGGATCCCCTACTAACAGATCAGTCTTCAAACATGCGGTAGGGTATTTCGCAAGGTATCATTTAGCCAACCTAAGTCCAATGAAGAAGAAAAGAGTTGTACTGTCCACATTTCCGTTGTCAAACACCACCAAGTTCCTAGCCTTCCAAATTGACCATAACACGAAAGCCGGGATAAACCTCCAAATACTCGAATTATGCCTTAGGTTTGCCCAAAACGGAGAAGGGAAATGGGATCTTGAGGCAAAGCAGTAGAAATATCCCATAACTTTAGTAATTTGTTCCAAATCTCTCTTGCAACAGAACACAATAAGAATAGGTGTTCTACTGTTTCCTCATGATAACCACATAACGGACAAAAAACATTATCCAAAGGGATCCCTCTTTTCTTCAACTCCACTCCGACTGCCAATTTACGATGGCAAATCTGCCACAGAAAGGTTTGGACTCTAGGAGGAGCCAAACCTGTCCACACCCACTTCTTCCACTCAAACCTACCTTTTGAATTGCTCGACAACGTCTGTCTATAGGACTTGACCGAGTACAAACCAGCCCCATTTCCCGACCATGCAAGAAAGTCCTCCACTGAACCGGACAGCACTATATTATCGAGCAAAGACATAGAGTAATCCACTGCTCCAATTCCCAGTCACATAGGTTTCTTCTTAGCTGAATATTCCACACCCAAATATTATTTTGAAGACCACCAAACTCGGATACAAGTCCCCATTTATTCATCGACAAAGCAAAAATTCTAGGAAATTGAGTTTTCAATGTCAAATTATTCACCCAAACATCAGTCCAGAAGGCAATCGACCTACCATTCCCACTTGGATCTTGGAATTTGTTCTCAAACACTCTCCCATCGTATCCTTTTTTACATAATTATTCAAAATACCCCTCCATACCCAAGAATCTATAGGTGAAGCAGCCTATGTTATTCCAAGAGATAAGGTGCTAACATTATTTTTACAGCATATCATCTTTTTCCACTGACTGTTTTTTTTCATTTGCGAATTTCCAAACCCATTTCCCAAGCAAGGCTCTATTCATCAAGCTAATTTCAAGGATTCCCAACCCTCCCTCTTCAAAAGGCTTACATACCGAATTCCAATTCACCCAGTGAATTCGTTTCTTAGATTGATCTTCTCCCCATAGAAAATTGGCCAATAAACGAATTTAACTTTTGAGTCACCTTTACTGGAATTTTGAAGATAGAGGAAAAAATCGGCAATGATGACAACACAGATTTCACCAACACAAGTCTATCAGCCAACAACAAAGAATTAGCTTTCCAACCTGCTAGTCTTCTGTTGAACAGCTGGATTACATGTTCTCATAAACCTACAAAATTTTTCCTTGAACCATCGATAAACCGAGGTATGTCATTGGAAAAGACCCCACTCCACAGCCCGCTTCCTTAGCCCAATCCTTTATCCTATCAACCTCTAAATTGACGCCATACAAAGTGCCCTTTGACAAATTTAAATGCAGCCCAGACATAACACTGAAAACCCTCAAAACTCTCCTAATATTTAAAATCTGCCTCGGTGAATCACTGCAGAATAATATAAGATCATTTGCAAATTGTAGATGGGTCAAATGGAAGGAATTACCATCCCTGCCAATGTTGAACCCTGGAAAAGGCCTAAATAAGCAGCCTTGATCAACATTAAGTTTAAAAGTTCCCCAACTAAATTGAACAGGAGAGGGGACAGACTGCAGCCTTGTCTCAACCCTTTAGTAATGTGAAATTCCTCCGTTGGAGATCCATTCATTAACACCGAGATTGAGGCTGTAGAAATGCATCGATCAATCCAAGAAATCCATTCTCCCCAAAACCCATAGCCTTCATTATTCTCATTAAATTTGGCCATTCCACCGAATCATAAGCGCTACGGAAATCAACTTTGAAGACTACACCACGCGTCCCCTTTTTCCTCCAATACTCTAGCCCAAGACTTATGGGTCTAAAGTCTTCAATTACCTCTGGATTCAGTTTCTTGGGGATTAGAGATATGAAAGAATGATTAACCCCATTCTCCCATTTCCTGCCTCTGTGAAAATTTTGAACAAATTTCATAATATTCTCCTTCATAATAGGCCAGAATTTTTTTAAAAATCCCATAGTAAACCCATCCAGACCAGTTGCCTTCGCGCTGTCCGAATAGAAGATAGCCTCCCACACTTCCTTTTCCGAAAAAGCAGCCTCTAAACCTTCCTTTTGATCATCTGTTAATTTGGCGAAGTTCAGATTAATTTCGTCCACCTCCAGCGTTGATTTGTCATTATAACTGCGCTTAAAATAATCTGAAATAGCAGCTCTAATCTGGTCCGGATCAATAACCTCATCACCCGCCACTTTCAAGGTCGAAATGGCATTTACACTGCTCCTGTTCAAGGCACATAAGTGGAAGAATCTGTTATTTCTATCCCCATTCATTATCCACTTTTGTCTTGATTTCTGTAGCCAAATACTTTCCTCCTTCCTGTGCAAATTCCACAAATCATTCCTCCAACGCAGAAGCTGCTCCCTGTCATGAACTTATAATAGAGTTCAACAAATGCTACATTTGTATTCCTGTAAAGGTTTGCGATGTAAAATAGGAAACAACAATATTGTGTTAAAGTAACTGCTAAACTTTAAACCATTTTCTTTCTCATTGAGGGCATGAGTGTGTCTTTTATATCGACATTTCACAGTTACACTTCAACAACATTTTCTAATTTTTTTTAATAACACTTAATCTCTTTGTATTTTTCTCCTATTTATATTCTTTACGACTTCAATCTTGTGGACCTTTTTTGCAGATTACAGGCAACTTTTCAGCTGTAAAGAAAGCAAATTATCCTTCTAATCCAGGGCATGAGAATGCTGTCCATAGCAGAGCAGGACTAGAAGAGGAAGTTGTATTTAAATTGTTATGCCAAGCTGACAAGGTTGGTTGTTTGATAGGTAAAGGTGGCTCTGTGGTACGGGCTTTGCAGTGTGAAACTGGTGCAGCAATAAAGATTGCTGATACTTCTCATGATTCAGAAGAGCGGATTGTAGTGATATCTGCACGAGAGGCATGGGAACTTAACTGTCTTTTTAGTAATTTTGCTTTATTATAGTCTGGACAATGGAATATTCTTACTTATTGCTAATTGAAAACCTTTACGCATTTGGTTGGTTGTCCCTAAAATCTGGTACATTTCGCTTGATTTTTAGGTATTATTACATATATCTACCAATCATAATGCAATGATCGATGACCTTTTCTTAAAGATAATAGGAAGTTTTACATGAATCACCAACTTTGTAGGTACTTTGTTTCTGCTGAATTCTGCTCACCATAACAGGGTAGTCTTATCATTTACTTTGTTGGACAAATCAATTGTTGCTCGGTTTGTATTTAACCTACTTTTAAGTAGTCTTTGACCTTATGTTGTCTTGTTAAGCGGATTGTTATCATGTGGGATATGGGATCAGGTCACATGATCTTAATTTAACGGCACCAATTGTTTCATTTTTTTAAGCCTTGTAATGTAGTACGCTGGTTTATGCTTCGATCATGGCCTATCATTGATTTTGGATCTTAACACCTGAAGAAAAGTATGATACCTTCCTGTTATGCTACTTTCTCAAAAGAATTCTTTGTCAGCATATTATGTGTTTCTTTGGATCTTAACACCTGAAGAAAAGTATGTTGTCTTAAATGAATTTCTTTGGATTCTATTTTTGCAAAGCTCATTATGTGTTTGCCTGCTGCAGCATGCAGAGCAAAGATTCTCTCCGGCCCAAGATGCTGTTGTTCGAGTGCAATCTAGAATTGCTGAGATTGGATTTGAACCTGGTGCTGCAATTGTTGCTCGTCTTCTTTTACCTTCACAACATATTGGTTATTTGTTGGGTAAAGGAGGTCATATTGTAAATGAAATGAGAAGAGCTACTGGTGCTAATATAAGGGTATCTTCAAAAGAACAACTTTCAAAGAGTGTTGGATCCCAAAATGAGGAAGTTGTACAGGTAATTGATTGTCATAGACATTAATTTCTGGTTAGATTAGCTTGTTTATTAACAGATCTATTGTTTAGTCATCGATCTTTTTGATGATAAGATTTGTTAGCATTTTAAAAGGATAATGGATTGGAACTTGAAAATTCCAACCTAATTTTTGAAGTGCTGCCTTTTTTATTTGAATATTTAGGAGGCATTCATAAGATATTTTAGGTTTGGTTTATTTTGGCAGGTCAGTGGTAGTTTACAATCAGTGCAGGATGCATTGTTTCATATCACAGGCAGGCTTCGGGAGTCCATATTCCCAATGAAACCTCCTTTTCTTGGTGTTAATCCTCCGCCCTACTTACCTCCTTTCCCTGAAATGCCACCTCCATTATTCAGGCCAAGACATAACCATGCCTCTCCATGTCCCTATCCTTCCCCCAGTGGACCTTTTCATGGCATGGATCCTTCTGCTGGTCCTCCCCAACCACTTGATCACCAACCACCATTTACACATGGTATGGACCACTTGGGTCCCTCTAGCTTAGACCACGCACCGTATCCCTATGGTGGTGACAGACATGGGCATGGACCCATGTTTGACAGGCCATCTTCTCCAGGATCGTGGACTTCTCAGGTTGGTGGCTTTGGTTTTGATGTATTATTATGGTCAAGCTTTTAAAAATAATGTACCTGATGTTAATATGACATATTTTCCCCTTTGTTACTATCTATTTGACAATAATGTCTATTGTTGTTTCCTTTTTTGAATTGTATCAGGCTGCTACACCTAGGGGAGTCTATGATGCTGGTTCTGGCTTTGTTGCTAGAAATGGACGTCCGGGGAGGTGATGCTTATTTTCCATGGATTATCATTCTATCTTTGCTTTCTGTCAACTTGATATGTTGGGGTTTAACGTTTTGGCAAAGCTGGCATTGCATACTTTGACTGTCATATAATTCCGGTATTTGATTTGGGATATAGGAGAAATAATAGAAGAAATAGGGAGAAATCATAAAGAAACACCAGGAAAGGAAGAAGTAGCTATAATTAATATAAATCCTTTTTTCAATGTCTCAATATCTCCATGATCAAAAGGATAACCGAAATTGGAGGTACTGTAGCTACTTATAGGATACTTCCAAGACCTCAATGCTAATATGAAATAGTAAATATAACCTTAAATGTCCAATTATCTAAATAGTAAAATTACTAACAAACCCATCTATGTTGTACACACTCTTAGTTTTTCTTGAAGGAAGTGTCCACCTGTACCCAATTCTGTATCTGATGTCTCATGCTGAAAATCTTAGAATTAAGTCCATGGTACTTTGACTTGAATGTGTGCCAAATATGTGTATGTGTTCTACATGGGAGTGTGTAATTTTTTTTCTTCAAGTTTTTCCATGTATGCGGATAGTCATCCCCATACTATATCCTAATATGTGTCGGACAGGGGTGTTTGATATGAATACTTAAGAAAAATGAAAAACTGGAGCAACATTTATTGAAATAACGTAACCTTGTCAATGTCGTTTTCTAAATTTTAATATTTACTATATCAAATATAACCTCTAAATGTTATTCACCAAATGCTCAAAACTACAATAGAACCCTAAAAAACCTTCATCATAATTGCTTAATCATTCAAATGCCACAAGGTCATCCTTCCCCTGGTATATGTCAAACATGACTTGTAATTTGCTATATTCAAAGCATTTCTGTTCTCAATCTTCTGAGAAAAGTTCCATTAGATTCAAAATTTGAAATGGTTTAAAAATGTTAACTCTTCAACATTGATCTGGTGTTTTCCATGATGTGTATACCTAATGCGCATGTTCTTTGGGCAGTGGGAATCAAGCACCCATTTTGACTAACACGAAGGTTGAGATTGTGATTCCTCAAATATACTTATGCCATGTTTATGGGGAGAGTAATAGTAACCTGGGCCACATCAGGCAGGTTAGTAATAATTTGTTGATCCATGTTATCCCAAAATTTTATTTTTCTTGAAGTATCTTTGTTTGATGTATATTTGGACATGAGTTGGAGGATATGATCATTCAACAACCGCCCAACTAAAATCTTTGAAATTTTGGACATACCGGTGTCTTTGTTTGACACTTACACTGAAATATGAGCAACATAGCTATGGATTGGAATAATGGAGTTATCATATAATGCTTCCTTTTCACCTCAGTTTTTTTAACAATGTCTTTAGATTTCTGGAGCAAATGTGGCTATTCATGACCCAAAGCCTGGGGCTGCTGTGGGTTTAGTTGTTGTCTCCGGAACATGGGAACAGTTACGTACTGCACAAAGCCTTATTCAAGCCTTTATCATTTGTGGACAAACTGCAGCTTGACTATCTATTTCATATGTTCTTCTGGCAGGTGAGTAATAATAATTCTACAGATTGCATGCAATAGTCAAATTATCGTGTAATGCTGGTTTTTGTTACCATTGTCTTCAGATTTCTGGATAAAAATTGATTATCCATGATCCAATGCCAAGGGCTACTGAGGGTTTAGTTGTTGTGATCCGAATCATCGAATCGGTTGTGGACTTGTCAGAGCCTTATTCAAGCTTGGTGATCTATTCTCGTATGTATGTTGTAAATTACATCTTAAATATCATATTTGGGCTTTAGAAATAGGAGAATTTCCTTCTTCGCTTGTGGGGTTAAAATTAGGTTTGACAAAATGAAGAATTTTTTTTATGATACTGTCTCGGACCCTCATTTTAAGGTGGTATGTTTTTGCCAAAAGAAATCAAGTGTGAAGCTCAAATGACAGAGTTGACTTATTTTTGTGTATTTTAATAATCTGTATAAAGTTTGATTTGTCAATAAATTTTGGGACATTTATTTAATGTCATATGGGGTTTTGTATCATGTTTGATAGGATAGTGTTTAAAAAATTTCGTAATTGCTTTGTCTCATCATTCTTTTCTATAACTTCAACATCTCATCATCCGGAATGAAGTGCAATTTGCAAAGCTCAAATTCGGATTGAATCTATTATGCGATCGAATGATTGATTAAAGTTCAAATATTAATTTGAGAGTATACATACGCATGAATGTATATTGTTCTTTTTGGTAAAAGAAAAAGGAAATTGAAAATTAGTAAATTATAGAACAATGAAAAAAAAATTAAATTGGTTTTAGAACAGGCATTTTAAACATTTAATATTATAATTTAGATTAATGTTGTTTTAGAGATATCGGGTGAATACATGCTATATAAAGGTAAAAATGTTATAATATTGCATGAATTAAATTATCTTAGTGGTTAAAAGAATGGTTGTTATTTTTAGAGGTCTTGAGTTCAAACACCAACGGTTGCAATATGAGTGATTGAGCGTTGATTGTCAAATGAATAGGGTATTATTTTATTGTGTTTTTTGATTATTTAAAGTTATAAAATATTTCAACTTAGATTGTCATTTTTTTTAACATAAAGGGAGGAGTTTGAAACATAAGAATAGTCGGACGACTATTTTGTAACTTTATTTTATAACTTTTTATAGTCGAATAACTCAACAAAATAATACCCTATAGTTGAGGGCTCAATAACACATTATCTTATAGTTTGGTTACCATTTGTACTTCACCCTAAAGTTTAAAAGTGAAAAAAAATGGAGTTAAATTAAACAAATTACCTTAATCGAATTAATTTGATTTAACTGATTTTTAACTTTTAATTTCAATTTTAAAAAGTTAGTTAACATTATTAAATCAGTTTAATTTTAGTTTCGAAATTTAAAATTAAATTAAAGGGTAAAGTATTGTAATTGTCACTGAACTTTTCTAAAGCTTGCATTTAGGTTCCCCAACTTTTAAAACTTGTAATACAGTCCTCCAACATTTAGTCTGTTTGCAATATGGTCTCCGATCGTTTGACGCTGTTACACGGCCGTTAGTGTAACATCCTCCATACCGGGTTAGTGATAAAATTGTGAAATTATAAAATTCAGTGACCAAAGTAGATAAATTGAATAGTTGAAAGATTTAATGGGAATGTTTTGTGTAGGATCAATTAACAAAGAAGGGGGAACTAAAGGGGTAAAGGAGTCTTTTAATAGGGGAAATAATTAAATATTAGATGAGGATATTTAAATCCACGTGGAAGGCAAATGAAGAGAACAAAAGTTTCCAGATTTCTCTTCTTCTTCACTTCTTCTTCTCCATCGAGAGACCAAGCTAAAGGTGAGTTTTCTTGTTCTTGATGAATTTAAGGTTTCTTATTGATCCTTAGTTGATAACTAAGCTTAAGGAAAGCTTAGATTATCTTAAAACCATAAGATGAGGAGAATATGAAGAATCAAAGAAAGGAAGTAGAAAAGTGAAATCTTGGATTAGAGTTCCTAATAAGAATTAGAAGTGGAAATTGACTTGTCATAAAGATAACTAAGAAGTATGAGGTGTTAGAATTCAAATTAGAACATGTTGGAATTTGGGTTAGATTCTTAAATTCTACATGGAGAATTGGATTTTTAAGTTTCAAAAGTATGGAATGGATAATAATTAGTTTAAGTAAGAGTATGCAAGTTAAGGATATATAAAGAGGGGAAATATAAAGTGTTAAGTAGACTAAGAAGAGATTTTCGTGCTAAAATGACAATTCTGGGCAATGTGCATCGATGCACATGTAGTGCATCGATGCATTAAATTTAAAAAGAAAACATCGAATAGGATTTATGCATCGATGCATAAGGAGTGCATCGATGCATCCCCATTAAATACAAACATCGAATAGGATTTATGCATCGATGCATGGTGTAGTGCATCGATGCATACCTCCATTAAAAGATGAAAATGACTTTTCTTTTAGCCTAAGAAATGATAGTTTAGAATATATTAATTAGTATACTGATAAGTATCAATGAATTACTATGTAGATATCGAGCCTAAACGAGTTCCGGAACCATCAACAAGTAGGATCAATCGAGGGAAAGAAAAAGGAATCTAGGTGAGTGCATATGCATAGCATGAATATGTATTTTATTCAGTTCTAGACTTGTGATAAGTCTAGATTCAATATTTTGATACATGATAGTATTTCATATTATGATATATGACATGAATCCATACCATATGCATTATGGGACATGAATATGCAAGAAAAAGTTATATGAGTTATGTGATAAAGGTATGAAAATAATATGTCTACGTGATACAAATAAGATAAATTGTGAAAGCCCATGTTATGTAAATGAGAACTATAGGTATAGTTGGCATGCCAAGGGTAGAGGGTCTATGTGGTCCTTCGGGACATATATGTATTCTTTAGAACATATGTGAGGTCTGGTGAGACACATACTTGATCCTTGACATATGTATATGATTCTTAAGGAATGATATGTGGTCCTTCGGGACATATATGTATTCTTTGGAACATGTGTGAGGTTTGGTGAGACACATACTTGATCCTTGGCATATGTATATGATTCTTAAGGAATGATATGTGGTCCTTATGGACATTATTATATGGCACTACGGTGCAATTCTACGCGGCACTCCGGTGCAATTCTACGTGGCACTTAGGCGCAATTATATGAGCTGTGGTGACAGCATAGTGCACAACCTCACAATACTCACATACCTTAGGTTCTCTGTATGGTACCATGGGCTAATGAAATTACTAAGGCGAACTTATGAATGTGAATTTGATAAGTATATGTGTAAGAAACATGGTTCTGGTTATTGCATTGTTTACATACATCTTATCATTGCAACCCATCTTATTCTGGCAATTACTTTATATTTATCGATATTATTATTATATTACCTCACTAAGTCGATGACTTAGCGTGTGAGTGTTTCACACGTAGGATCCGATAAAGTAGACGATCGAGGTTAAGCAACTGGACAACATTACTCATGCAACTATCAGATCAGAAGCAACTTAATCAGTAGGTCATTTTGTTATGAAAAGGGATGTTGGCATGTAACTAAAGGGTTAAGTTGTGTATGCTCTGAGTATTTTGATAAACTTGTATAAATATATGTATATTATTGTATTTTTCTTAATATAAGTTCAAGTATTTTGCTATTATTTGTAAGAGTTGTATTTTAAAAGTCAATGTAATATCTCTGACTCGTATCCGGGTTGGATACGGGTTGGGGGTGTTACAGTTAATCCGTTTGCAATATGGTCACCGAACTTTTCATGCGCTTGCATTTAGGTCCCCCAACTTTTAAAACTTGCAACACAATCCTCAATTTCATTCTAAACCCCAAATTATAAAATAATTCAATTACATTTTAAACCCCTAATTCTAAAAGTTTTGATTAAGAAGAAAGAAATAAAATTAGATGGTTTTAGTTCAAAACTAACACTGAATATCCAGATCCTTGACATGCAGTTCCAGAAACATAAAAATTATTATACTTTACCCTTATTTTAATTAGTAATTAATATACCTAATAATATATATATTCTTATTTTAATAAATAATATAATAAAAATTTTATTTTAATAAAATCAGGGATTTGGATATTCAGTGTTAGTTTTGAACCAAAACCATCTAATTTTATTTATTTCTTCTTAATCAAAACTTTTAGTACTCCTTATGAAATATATTCAGTCCATCAGAATAGAAGTGAAAGAGTGTAATATCCCAAATCAGGGTCAGTGACTAAATTGCAAATTTTGAAAGTTTTGTGCTCAATTTAGAAAAAATTAAAAGTCTCAGGATTTAAGTAAAGAATTTTAATATTGGATTAAATAGCAAAGATGGATGAACTAAAGGGGCAAAATGGTCTTTTCATGGGAAAGATTTTTATCTTCCCTTTTTGAGTATTATAAAACGTGGGGAATATGAGAGAGTTCCAGACTTCTCTTCTTCATTCTCTTCTTTTCCACAGTGAAGCCATAAGCAAAGGTAAGATCTCTTGTTAGTTGATATTTAGCTGAATTTAGGATTTGGTTATGATCATTGGATGATAATTAAGCTTAAGGAAAGCTTAAATCATCTTAAAAACAAAGGATGGTGGAATTATGAGAGATTAAAAGATTAAGAGTTTTTGAATGAAATTTTGGAATAGAGTTCATCACTCAAATTGGAAGTTGAATTTGACTTGTCGTCTATGAGAATAAGAAGCTAGAAGTGTTAGAATTAAGTTTGGGTAACATGGAAAAATTGGTATAATTCTTGAATGCTATGTGGAGGAGTGGATTTTTAAGTTAAAGAGATATTGAATGAAAATTTATTAGTTTAATTATGTATATTTGAGTTAAGAATATTAAAGGAAGTGAAATAGGAAGTGTGGAACTGAAAATGAAGTGATTTTCGAGCTCAAAATGTGATTTCTGGGCTAGGGGAATCGGTACCCATTCAAGGGGAACCGATACCCCCTCAAACGAACCAGAATTTACAGAATGTCGTGGGGGAACCGATACCCCCACAGGAGGGAACCGATCCCCCTAAAGGAAGAAATGAATATTAGTTTATTAAGTTCGTTTAAGTTGTTAGTATCGAATTACAAGATGTAGGTATCTAATAATTGTCTTGAAAATGTATAATTATGTAGATTCAGAGCCTGAACGAGTTCCGCAATTATAGTCAAGTAAGATCGATCAAAGGGAAAGATAAGAGATTGGAATTGACTGGTGAGGCCAGGTGAGTGCATATTCAATAGTATATGATGGGTGATGGGAATAAGACTTGCAATGAGTCTATTTCCTGAAG